GGACAACGTCTATCGGGTCATCTAGTATTCATATATGATCTCGATTTTTCTCACATAGCCAAAAAGAGCCAGTTATATAACAGTTATGAGCAGAATACATAGATTGGAAAATAAGTATGAATTAATATTTTATTACCTTTAGTATACTCCCTAGATTCATATACAAAATTTACCACGTAAAATAGCTTGTGAATTTAAGATTGACCACTATCTAGTGTAAATTATGTAATTTCCGAAAGGAAATTCGGGACAAAATTTTCCAACCATTCGTATTCCGTAAGCATTTAGCACCTGGATTTATATGTCTCATTGTGATTTTTCGGGTTCGGTCGGTTACGCTGGAGAGAAATATCACTATTTATAAGCAAGTGTGTGCTGTGGAACTATTCATATTCAGTTATTCACAGGATACGAGGTGCACAGGACGCCATCGGGCATATAGATATCAGTTCGATCCAGTATATGTAAAGGAAATACCCTAATATCGGACATATGGGCCGGTGGAGAGCAGATCAAAGATTTGCTTAGGGGAAATTTTAATATGTTACAATGTAAATAAAGTTCATACGTCTCAGTTTTACTCTTCTCAGGTTCTATTTCAAATTATATATGCATGCTATACGATTGTTCCACTTATAGGGCTTAAACAATGATATGGAAATATCTGTCGTATTTAACACAACTAGAAACTATCCTTTTTGATTTAATTAAAACTTTAAAACATCTTGTTCGAGCCTCACAATTTGATTAATCTTCTCTACCTGATATAGTAAATAATTTCCTACCCTGCTCTAGATAATAAGATAGTTTTTAAGAAATTCATCCTAATTCTGTACGCAAAACTTGAACCGTGAACATCAAACAAATAAATACTATTAATAACTAAACCAACTTATTTAACAGACTCATTTTTAAAGGTGTGATATAGCCATTCTAATAATAAATTATGTCTGGTCCTTCGGGGTGGTAAAGTGTCCGTGTGTAGTAATTTTTCAATTGACTTTTTTAGTAAACATTGCGGTGGGTGTTCACACATTTTGTCAGTTTGTTTTTTGAAATGGCATATGGATCTAATTATACTAACAAGGAGAACCTTAGGTTTACAAATCTTCTGGTTTTTAATAAAACTTTGCATGGTGATAAAGTTGATAGTAAAACTGTACATTTTAAAATATTAGTGGTTTAATTATAAAAAATTATTAAAATTTTGAAAAATAGACGCCTAGTGTAACAGTAACAATTTCTAACCTCAACTTTTTGGAATTTCTTGAAATAAATATTTAAAAAAAAATTATAGACGGTTGTTATTTGAACTTCATGTTGTAATCTATTTTGTAAAAAACTTTTATAGCACTTTTTTTTAAACATATAAAAATTCTATTCATGATTCAGTTTTTTTCATTTAAGTGTTACTCTATATGTACTATAATAAAAAATATTCCCCGCATGTAAAAATAACAAAACGTGACTCAATTAATAAATAATTCAGGCTTTTGGTATTTTAATAATCGTACACCGTGCTATATTGTTCAATTATTTTTCGATCAATTGCCGATATAAATTGCTCTATATAAATTGATATGAAAAAATTAAATATTTGTAGACACTTATTACTTTATACGTTATGAAACTAGATATCATCATTCAGCAGGAGAAACGATATTTAAAAAAATGATGAAAACAAAAAAAATAATGAATTTTTAACTATTCAAAGGATTAGTTTGATTTTGTTAAAAAATCCAATATTCGCCAACAATCCTGAACCGATTTTGGTAATATCAAAACCGAAAAATATCAGTTGGGTAATTTTTCTGACCATTTTGTTGCAACTTTGCATGATATGGTTCATAGTCCTAAATGGACATTCTAAAATATTATAGGCATTCGAAAAGGCGTTGAAATATAAAAATTCGTCACAGTTTAGCATATTGCATTGTGTGAAAATTCTTATTGAATGAATGGATTACTTATACATGTTGCGATGTGCGCTAAGACAAAATGCCACTTACGCCTAGTTTGTTTTAAAAAATGTAAAACTACGTTTAAACTCACATGTATAAGTGTATATCATTTATTACCAGAGTATAAAAGGGATATTTTACATTTTTATAACATTTGACTAATTATTACACTATTCTTTGTCTGGTGGTAATAGTGACCAGTAATTTATTAAATCAATTTGATAGTAGGATCTTGAGGTTTAAAATGAATTCCTATTATAACCAGCAATATCATATCGATTATCAATAATCCAGAAAATAGAAAAAATTCGTGGTCCTGATCGAAAGTGGCGCAAAAAGTGACTATGACTACTATAGCGTCGCCGATTCCTTCGCAGAATTCCGCCGTGGCGCACACCACCGATTTGAGTGTGGCAGGCGCCTGGGTGTACTTGAAATCCTGCCAGGCGATCATGAAGTAAATCTCCCCGATGCTGTAAATGATAGCCTGAGGCAGTAGCCATAATATGTGTACGGAGTTGGGTTCACGAATCTCGTAGAACGTGGCCGAGTCTCCGTAAAGTATCGCAGCATATGCACCGCCTAAATGCATATCGAATTGGGTCAGTATCCTGCCACCCTTCCGCACTAGAGAGTATTCATCGGGGGTGACTTCCACTACCCTCGGACGGCTGTTTGCGGTGTATATGTCGCCTGTATGCATCGATCTCGTAAGCACTTTGATCTTTACAGCGTTTGAATCCTTAACTAATATCTGATCGCCCGGTTCGGCACCTAACACAGTTAGATGTGGAAGACCCGATTCAGATTTATCGAGTTCTATGAATGCTGATACCTCGACCTCGCCTTTGACTTCGTCAGTGTTTATGAAAACTGATACAGATGCTTGTTCTTCAATAAATACTGTTTTATTTTTGAACGTAGCGCAAGGGCTATTACTTGACAAGTTGAATGATTTATGTCCATGCATTGGTATGTGCTTTGCTGTATATATACTTAAAGGACTCATTACAATCCCGCGAGGAAAAATATCTGATGCATACATTACATAACTGCAATTCAAACCATTATAAAATCTCATCTCAGCTTGGTTTGCAGGTGGTTGAATGGAGTCGGGATTTTTAATTTTAATCCGTGATTCGATTATTCCAGATATTGCAAAGGCAATTGCCAATGACGTGCCACCAAATATCATCCTTCGCAATGACCTGTCCATACCAAATCTTAAAATGTACGGATCTATAAAGTTCATAGTAATTGGCAGTAAAACCAGGACAAGTGTAGGGTTTAAAAGAAGAAAATGATCAGGAATAATTGTATACGATCCAATGCGACCGTCCATCCTAGCAGCTTGAAATAACCATTTAGTATTTACTTGATTGTACATAGAATAAAACGTCGGTATCGTCACCATTATCAGTAGAATCCGTAAGTAAGTTTTGATATCACTTACCATTTGTTCTCCAAAATCAGCTTTGGAATAATCCAGCCAATGTTCCTTGGGATTGGTTTTACGTTCTTTTGACCACATTTTTAAAGCATGTCTTACACATTTTACCATTCCAGAAGACATATTAGTAGTTGGCTTTTTTATTGTATAAAATTTATAGCCTGCTACTAATAATGATATTTCCAACATGTAGCTTGCTATTGAAACTCCAAATGGTATGGGGTAACACTCTTGATCACCCATGCATGGTACTTCTGATTTTAACAAAGGTAGAAGAAAATATGCGAGAAGGACGCTGCTGCTTCTAAATATGTAGTCTATGCGGTAATAATGGACTAGAATATCATGTTGTTCAGGTAATTCGAACTGATCTCCTTCAAAAGCTGGAAATGTCCCTGCCATTATGATCATGCCGCAGGAGTGTAGGGCCCAAAAAGCGTATGTGAATTGCCTGGCATAATTTTTCATAGGTGGAAATGAACCTATAAACAACAATGACC